TGGGGTGGGTTCACAATAGGGTTTACATAGGGTAACATCTTTAAAACTACTCTTAAGAAGAACAGCAAAGCCAGGACAAATCATATGACAGTGGAAGCATCCTCTGATAGAGAAGATTGTAAAAGTTTTTTTTTCTTATGTATTTCAATGTAAAATTTTGATCCTCTATTGTAGCCCACTCTTCCCTCGGGAATTATGATCTGAACAATTTACTGTCTACACTACCTAAGGAAGCTTCCTTATAAATTTCAGCTTTTTTGGCCGAGTGGTTTTTGAGAACATTTTAAAGATGTTTTCCTATATATTTCAAAAAACTTTAATCCCCTGTTATGACCCCATCCTAACCCCTGGTGTCTTGATCTGAGCAATTTACTTTCTAGACTAGAAGAAAGCTTTCTTCTAAATTTCATCATTCCTGGTCAAGTAGTTCTTCAGATTTTAAAATATTTCTCCTATACACTTTAACATAAAACTTTGATTCACTATTGTGGTCCAAACCTACCCCCAGGGACATGAACAATTTAGAATCAACATTAAAATCAATACTACTTTAGGAAGCTTTCACCTAAATGTCATCTTTTCTGGTCCAGTGGTTCTTTAGAAGAAGATTGTAAAAGAATTTTCTTATATATTTCAATGGTTAATTTTGATTCCCTATTGTGGCCGAATCCTTCCCCAGGTGCCATGACTTGAACAATTTAAAAAGTGCACTACCTAAGGTAGCTTCCACATATGTTTCAGTTTTTCTGGCGCAGTGGTTCTTGAGAAGAAGAATTTTTAATTACCCTACCCTATTTTTGCCTTTTCTTTATTATCTCCTTTTGGAAAGGGCCTAAGCTATTTAATTCTACAATTTGGGATATTTACCCAACGAGGGAGGCCTTGTTCCAGCTTTGGTTAAAATTTGCCCAGTGGTTTTTGAGAAGTTGAAAATGTGAAAAGTTGCCAGACGGACAGACAGCTGGACGGACGTCAGACAATGGGGGGTCAAAAAAGCTTATTTGAGCTTTCAGCTCATGTGAGCTTAAATGTGGACCCCCAACCACAGTTACAACGGTACATGTATAGGAATAAAACAAAAATATTATCTAGATAATTGCTACTACTGAATACACAAAGTAACATCCCAATATATGTAATTAAAAAAGAGTATTCTAATTTATTAGTTAAATAAAATTGTATATCATAGTCGTGTACACCGATCCTGGACACAATTTTCTGACCAAAAAGTTTTCTCCCTGCAGTATTGCGAGTAATGCTGTCTGTCTCTCTGTCTCCATCCGTGTGTGCGTATGTTTATTTGTCAATCTCTCTCTCTCTCTCTGTTCACGACCCTAGTAAATATTCGTCAAAACAATATATCGATGACGATATGTGCCGATGCTTGCCTGTATATACATTTATAACTTTGTCGCCCATTATGCAGGAGGAAAATCGGCACATATTGTCGCGATGGACGACAAAATGTGCAGTGAGGTCAGGTACATATTGTCGCCGACGACAATATGTAGAGAACAACAATATGTACCGTCACAAGCCTACACCCCGAATGTGTTTAATTTGTCTACATGTGAGTTAACTTTTATTAATGAATGGGTCACCTGAGTCACTCAGATGAACTATTGCTATATATCTGTTTTTGTCCGTCTTAGTCAAGATGTTGGTTCAGGCATTCAAGAGAGGAAGCTGAAAATGTTCAAACTTCACGACGACGCACGACGGACGATAAACGGCGAAAGTTTCTAATTTAATGTCGCAAATGGCATAGATTTCCCTTGTTTTATGACAAAAAGATGAGAACAGTCGATTCATTAATTTGAACATTCTACCTAATAAAAATACACCGGGATCTGCTTAAAAATGTAACGCGTTATACATACGTAAAATATGGTTAATTTGCGCTTTAAAATATCACATTTCGCATTAAAATCTGTTAGAATATATTTTGTGACTAGAGTCGGGTAGATCTATGTTAAAGCTATTAATTATAACATCTCCCATATTACAAGCATTATTTTAGGAATGACTCTAATTCTTGACCAAATTATTCGAGTATAACCTGGTTTGGGTCAGTTTACGCTTTATAATCCGCGAAGCGGATTATAAAACAGCGTAAACTGACCCAAACCAGGTTATACTCGAATAATTTGGCCAAGAATTAGAGTCATTCCTTATAATTTAATTCTAAAATCATTAAACAACTGTGGGTGTAAAATTTCGTTGCTTTTTATTAGTTCAAATTTGCCGCTCAATAACACAACCCTAGTAAAGGAAGTGATGGGAAGCAAGGGGAGGTAAAAACTGATACATAGTCCTAGCAGCCATGTTTTTTGTTTGCATGTGGTAAGATCCGAGTTACTGTTTGAAGCTAAAGGTACATTTATTAAATCTGGAATTTTCCATGAATCCCGAGGACTGGAAATGAGAGCATTGCATGGATACAGACGATTCAGCTGGTTGTCAGGGGGGTGTGTCCCCATACCAAACCAGGTTATACAGAAATAATTTGTGTTCCTTTTTGGATATTAACCAATCAGAGGCTAGAATACAAACAAAATTAAATTATATTGAAATAACCGATGGGTTAACAGGTCTGGTACGTAAAATCAAAATGACAACAACATCGCGCGCAACGTCACTATATATATAGTTTAAATAATATTAATGCATTGATAACGATCAGATTAATTTCACACTAAATAAAGGAAAAATATAGGGGATATGATATTACATTAATCACTGTAATAATGTACTTATTGATAGGTCAAACAAACAAAAAATTACAAGACACATAAAGGCAATTGTATGTCCCAGAAGGACTATTGTGTTGACCTCTGATCACCCTATTTCTCTTGTTTAGGGCAACATATCTTTATTGTCATTCTGTGGATCCTTTACAGTATTGTATTATACGCAGGTGACCGTTAAGGTCCTTGGGCCTCTCGTTTAGAGATCAGGGCCCCATTTCACAAAAGAACTTACGGCTAGGACCAAAATTTAGTTTTGTAAATAACTTTCTAATTTACATTTATTTGAAGAAGGTTTTAATCTTTTAAAAAAGAAATTTAGAAATATTTTAATATTTTTATGCAAGCAGTTTTTAACAGAATCATATTTTGCAAGATTTTACAATCAACTTAACTAGTTGGTCTTAGTCGTAAATTCTTTTGTAAAACGGGTCCCTGATATTTGGACACAAGTTTAAGATATTTTTTAGCATTTTAAGAAAATTGAATAATATAAAATTTTCTTAAAATGCCCAAAATATCTGAAACTCTCTGGTTAATTCTTTTCATTCTGAAATATTACAATTCCTGTATCATTTCAATTTGTCTGTTAAAGTTTTCTAAAAGGAGACAGGCGAACAAGGCGAGCGAAATGCCTATAGCTTCAAACGTGTAAAAAATAATAAAAATCAAATGAAATTTGTGAACTAAGTATTTGAATTAAAGTTCTAATTATTGAAAGGCATGACGTGGCAAACAAATTAAACTTTTCTGCGGAAAAATTCTCTCAGCAAAAATTATTCTATGGTTAAATAAAAAATAAGAATTTCTTGGGAATTGAACCCAAACCATATAAAAAGTCTGAATATTAGTTTCTGTTCCTAGAGACTGACAATCTATCCACTACACCAAACAGCTTATAGCAGGTAGTGCATTAAAATCTGGCTTGTTATACCCTCGAATAACTGGACTTCCAACTATTTCTCGTAAAGATACGAATTTAGTGTATCTTCAAGGTGGAGTGGATCCTTGCTCCCTGTTTTTGTTAAACAAAAATGTATATTTTTAAACATATTTTGAAGATGTACTTAAAAAAAAAGGACCTGTCTAATTAAACAGAAAAATTTTATTTTGTATGAAGAAATTATCATTTTTATCCTATCTGATGTGTGCATGCTATTTCATATATCAAATAAACTCTGCAGTATGACTTAGTAAAGTATGCATTAATGTTAACGAAAATATATCAAAGAAATTGTGTTATAACTGAAAATTAATTTTCACTTCTTTATTTGTAAAACTATAGACATTTATTCTCGAATTTTTCACCCATCATTTTTTGAATTATTAACATTCTCCGGGGAACCTTGAAGTGTATAGCATGTTTATGCCGTTCACAAAGCTAATGAATAAACTCCATTTTTACACCATAGTGTATATAGATATATCAATAACAATAGTTTTAGTAACAAACGGATCTCCTTTATAAATAGTATCACAAATATTTGTAATATCTCAGTTTCAAACACACGATAATGATAAATCATGTTTGCTTCCACACCCTTCTTATTGAGCCCTGAGTGATAATCTATTTTGATACTTTCTGAGCCAAAAAAAATGGGAGGTTTCATACATGGATAAGGGCTGTGTTTCCTAGAATAAAATTAAAAAAAAAATTGAATGTGAGGAATAATTTGGTATATCTGTTCTGAACTATCTTAATAATGCACATACGAGATATGATTAATTAAGTTCTATAGGTTGCATGTGTGAATGCGCGTACACGTATTACCTTCTGAGAAGAATAAGATATCACTGAAATTCTCTGATTAAGCTGAAATTGCCCCCCCCCCCCATTCAATTCTTATTGTCGCAGCAATTTCATTCAAAAGTTTAAACTGAATGCAAAGAAATCTGAAGGGATTGAAGAAAATCACATACGGATTTTTTAAAAATATAAATTGCATATGTAGCAAACCCTTCTAAAATTCGTGGGAATACCCTTGCGGCTGTGACCACCCTCCACATCCCCCAAGTCAAGGACATATTCATGATATTGTATCATCGGTATCATGTGAATCAGTGGAAATTTATGCGTGGTTATCTTGTATACAGAGAATTGGAAATTTGCCCTATTTGCTTTTTCCCATTTTTTCTTTCTTTTTATATATATATTTTTAAAAAATATTACATCCGTTTTCCGCTCAAAAACTACTTGAACATTTCAGGGGCAGACAATGCAAGGAGGATGAGAACGATCACGTGACCTTCACCTTTTGCAGAGAAAACGTGGAAGAAACTGGTAGAAAGTGTAAAACTAAAAAGCTGGATATCGATGGCGGCAATCTTGGGGGAAATTTATGAGTACGATTTCTGTCAAAGACAATACATTTTAAGTGAGATTTTATGTGGTAAGTACCAGTATTAAATATTTTTCATTCATGAATCGGATCTTTTTTCTACGTTGTAACGTATTATTGTTCATTTAAAAGTCATGTGATGGTCATTTTTTGTTGCCCTGCCTCTTTGTCATACTAAAACATTAAATATTTATCATTAGCACATTGACACGATCAGCGACTACTTCTAATTAACGCCCAGTTAATGAGATTCAAGTTGTTCTTTGTTTTAATTTCCTGCTCGACTGCATTGTTAACAACTGTGCATTACGTTGTCCATGTGTTTGCTTAAAATATTTTAAAGAAGCTTGACCGATGAAAGACTGGAAATTATGTAAGCTTTTAAAGAAAGTTGTTTTATTTCATTATTGATAATTTTCTGTCAGTTGAATTATTTATCTTATTTATCATGTGTATACAGGTATGTAGACTTGGATTCTTTTGACATAACTATTCCAGCCCATCTATTACTTGTATTTAAGATGACCCCCCCCCCCTTTCCGATTTTCAAAATTTGCTGGAAGTGGCTTACACTCTAGGATTAAATCATTATAAAGTATCTTCATGTATGCATTGTATATATAGAATTAAAGTCTTAATCCTAGTATAATGTGTGATATTTCAATTGTAAATTTTTAACCAAATTGTAAAAAAAACAAAAACAAACAAACAAAAAAACCACCAACCAATATTTCTGGCAGATAAGATGTCACTCTAAGTAAAATATACAGCCACCCCCTTCTCTTTTTTTAAATTGTTCAGACAGATAAGCTTCTGCAATGACATTAAATCCCTGTTGAAAATATACAGAAAGATGTTTATTACTTATGAAAAATCCCAGTACTACATTTTTACTGAAATGTGCCAAAATATGAACAAAATACATGTGTTTAAGAGACTGAAAATAGCAGCTTTACAGTTTGATAAAACAAACAAAGGTCTCTTTTCCAAAATCAATAAGAAAACCATGATCTTTCATGGGTGTAAAGGTAATCCATGACACTTTGAGGGTCCAATGTTAATTAATGTCCCATTAGCATAAGCATGATGCACTCAATGCCCATCCCAATCTTTCAATTGTTTGTAAATAATTGAATAATTTTACCATATAATTAGACACTTATCATTTAATAGTACATGAAATTAATGAATAATATATAAGCAAAAAGGTTCTGTTGGTATTTTTGATTCAGGTGGGTTATATTTTTCCTTCTACGTCTTTTATTAAAAATTTGTCTACTCTTTTAATCTGATAAACAATAATTTTTTGTTATAGAAATATTTTTCTTTTCTAATGGTTATGTTCACAATTAAGAACTGCATGGATTAAAATTTGAATGTTCTTGTTCAATTTCAAAGATTCAGTCAAGATTAATGAATTAATCCATCATGTGTGTATTTGAATATCATAGCCCTTGTATCTTGAACTAGGAAATCAGTGTTTGATCTGAAAAAAAAAATGTATGTTTTTATCAGACCTTGGTCTTTTTAGGCTCTCATGTAGACTGTATATATGTGAATTTGGTAGGAATCAATTCAAATCATTGGTTACTTCATTCTTTCATTTTTTTTTTTTACTCCTGAGTAATGTGTGGCGTACGTGTGGTGAAGGCCAGAGAGAGAGAGTTGTGGTAATGGTGGTGGGGGTTATATTATGATTATTACTAGAAGTCCTTTGATCTCTCTGAAAACCAGAGTCTATGACTTTTTGAAATATCTGTAAATTGTTAAATGGACAAAAATATGAAACAGATACAGTAAAGTTTCATTATCTTGAACTCAGTGGGACAGAGAACAAAGTTCGAGATTCTTAGAATTCGAGATATTGAGAGGGGAAAATACTTATGAAAGAAAAAGTGCTAGGAACTTCCAAATCAGTTAGACTTATCCATTTTATTCAAGACATTGATATTCTAGATACTGCATGAAGTTCAGTTGTACTGGCCATAAAGGTAACATAATATGTTGAGGGGGTAAGTTATAGGTCAAGGTTGCATTGATTAAAAAAAATGCATGTAGACAACAAATTTGTAATGCAGGGCATGAAAAAAGCCCATACTTGATTCAAACATTGCCACTGACAGGATAGTATATAACAAAGATGACCAGATTACAAGGTCCCTAGAGCAAGGTCAAGGTCACAGGTTCTATAACACTTGTCAGGGCAATAACTCTGTAAACTCAAAAATTGTGAAGGTTGCTTAAAAGACGAACAGAGAGTATCATGAAATGACTGAACAATCATGAAATTTTTCAAGACTATGGAGTTTCCATCTGCTTGGGTTTCAGTGTTTTCTACAAGGATTATTAGTTTAGTTATAGAATATTTGATGCTGTGATGTATGTCAGAAGGAATGTTTAATATGAAGCCATAGTTTGTTATTGAATAATAACTAGGCACCTACAGATAAAAGGCTAGAAATTACTAAGCAACTTTAAGCCTTGTATGGTTTATACAACCAGGAACTAAAGTTGTTTTGTTTATTGTACTCTATTTTTAACATATTTAAAAACACACATTAGCTCTTTTCTATGAAAATTATGCATGGCAAAATCTTCCAGAAGCTGTTATGTCAGTGGGGTATGTTATCTTACAGTGTATACTTCTAGAGGTTGGTAAGTATATTACTCCAAATATTTGGCATGGAGAGATTTCTATTTTAGAATATATTTTGTAATTTATGTGTACATATTTAGCTTCATAGCGGCCACAAAAGGAATTCATTTTGAGTAAGAGGGGATGAAAATCGTGACTGCTTGTCAAGGTTTGTCTATATGTGATGTAGAAAAGTGTTGCAGCAAAACTGAAATATGCATATCACCAAAGGTATTTAGTGAATGATATGTATGTATCCTACCTTATACCTGAGTTGGAGATTTTTTTTACAAGATAATGTACAAAACACCAGGAGAAAAACCTGTTTGAACTGGTCGCATAGATTTCTTTATTAAGTAATTTGAGCCAAATGAGATATTGACCCCCTCTTTGTACTTGTGACTGGGACACAGGTAGAGAATAATGAGTTAACAAGGAGGAATTTTGCGTGGGGCATCAGTGAAAATATAGGTGTGTTGAACTTTAACCTTTACTTAGGACAGGTGGGTAGAGAGAGAATTTTGGTCTTTAAAAGTTGGACAGCATGCAGGTGTTAATTTTTCAATAGCAGTGGAGAATATAGTTTGTAAGATTTTGTGTTTGAGTTATAGGGAATTATTTGTCAATACTTATTGATTTAAGGATATCAAACCCAGGCCCTTTAAGTTACATGAAATTTTTCAAATTGGTGATTTTCTGAGACGGAAAGTTCACATCATCTAGACTTTGATTCAGGTAATGAGATTGCTTACACTTTTTAGTTTTAGAAACCTTATTGTGCATTTAAATTAAGAATGTAAAATCAACAGCCTGTGACCTGTTTGACTGGTTAAAAAGGTTATTGATCTGTGTACCTGTACAGTGTACCTTGCTGTGGGTAAACTTTTTGAACTCGAAATCAAATTGAAAGTAGACTAGATGGGCATGCCTACTGTCCTACTGTATGTCAATGTCAAAGGAATTGTATACCCACTAACATGAATGAAATGGATTAATCTCTATTGATTTCTGGTAACAGCTTAGAAAGGCACTGTTGATTGCTTGACAATTCTCTCTACTTGTTATTTGTATTGAAATAAATTCTGTCTGTACATTTGCATTTTTGAAATGCATTAAATGATCACAATCTCAGAAACAGCTTTATTAAGGTATCCCATATCATCTTATCTATTATGAATGTTTATAGATGCAACATCAGTGTTTTCAATAAGGTTTTGAATAGAAGGAAATAAATTTGAAGTAGTGGATAGCCCCCCCCCCTACCCCCACCCCCCTCGCTTGACCAAAAACGGAAATAAGCATTTTTGAATAATTTTTTTTGTGCCTTTTAGGCCAACAAAAGTACCTATGGCATGTTAAAAGTCTGTCACTATCAATTTTAATGATAAAGCCATTTAGAAAATAATTTTTATTCTTACCTTGATTTGTTAGATGTACTTTAGAGAGAGGTTTTTTTCTGAAAACTTGATGTTTTTAAAAACATATAGACAACCTTTCATACTGAAAATACCGGTACTACTACAAAAAGACCTTCTTAAATGTGAACAATAATTGTATTTCAATTAAAAGATTTAAAACAAATAAACAAGAAACAGGTTTCCTATTTTTCATTTTGAGGAAATTCTGGTAGCTTGTAAGAATTACTATGTCTCTCGACTACAAAAAATCAGACTTTTACTCCTAAGGTCTTATTTAAATTATATCAGTCTAGATATAAATATTTGCTATTGTGTTTGATATTTTAATCTTGACCTGGCTTGAAGACTGGCTGTGGATATTAAAAAAAACATGTTTATTTTCCTCTTTGACATTGTAAGCTGTAGATACCTGATACTGGTGCCTATGAAGCCAGCAGTTCTTAATATAACCATGTGCCAATCTGTGCCATTTCCTCTAAAGCTAAATTGATACTCACGATTTTCGAGTTGTGAATTTTATAGGTGGTTGAAATTAACTATTTAAATAATTATGTACTCTTTTAATACTCTTACAAGTTGTATGCAACAATCTGGATCACATCAACTTCTATGAAAAAAAGGGAACGCAAGGGAAGTTACTCTAGATAATATAGATAGTTATTATAAAACCTGCCAATTCGGATTTCAGGTGCCAACCCCAGCAAAAATGAACATTTTTTATCGAACATCAAGCTAAAATCCAAAACAGAAAATTTTATTTTAAAGTACTTTTTTTCAGAAGTAATAAGTGGGGTGGTTTAGATTTGTTAACCTGTCATTTGAATCTTCAAAACCTTGCATTTTATACCTATATAGTAATTTAAAAGTATGTTTTGGTGTTTTCATACATGTTAACTCTACCACTTTAGAAATATTCTAGAATCTGGATGAAAATTTTTGACTCCATTATAAAAGTAAAAAAGGGAATTGGTATTCATTTTATACTACTGGTATTTTGC